CGTTACCACAGGCAGTCTCCTTCACCAACTGCGAACCCAGTCTCTCCCTAGGGTGACAGCTTTTTCTGCCTAGGACCCACCCAAATGCAATTTTCCCCAAGACCCAGTCTCTTCCTTCAAGGATTCTGATGCTTTCCTTCTCTCCAACCCCTGCAGCTACCCCCACTCATCCAGATTCATTGCACACGATTTATTCCTTTGGGAGAGAGGACGAGGGCGAAATTGATAGACCAATAAATATTGCACAGGCCACTGGTGGAAGAAAGATCCAGACCGAGGTAGTTTCTGCCGAAAGGGTGAGGGGCCCGGGCAGGAAAGGCACCTGAGGTTGTTGGGGCCTGAGTTGGAAATGCGTCTTGGAGGGAGCGTAGTCGCTGCTTCCTCCTGACCCGCGGTTTTCTGCCCGACACAAGGCTCGCAACCCCTTCAGCCTGGACAAGCTGATCAGCAGCTGACCAGATAGCCTGCCTTTATCAGCAGCGTCAATTCATGGAAAGATCAGGTTTCCTTTTAGAAATGTTGACTGGTTTCTTCTACGCAGCGCCAACTGGCAGCCCAGGGCTGCTGGTGCCCGGCAGCTGTCGTTGGCAGTTTGCCAGAGAGCGGGGCTGAGCGGCTCCCGTTGGCTGTGGGCTGGGGCCCCGCCTCGGCGAGCAAGTTGGGCAGTTAGCCCGGAGCGGGCTAAAAAGACAATGATCTCTGGCCTCGGGAAGATACAGTCTAACAACTGTGCCCAGGGGTTCGTAGCACTGAGCAGCTCTGATTGGCCGACACTCCTCCTGGGCCGAACCCCGTTTGGCTGTTTACGGCGGGGGTGGGACTAAGCGACGGAACCGCCGCAGAAGCCAAAAAGCTTAGATTGGCTGCGCTGGGGCGGGGGCTTGCCTAGCAACCCTAGGCTGCCTCAATTGCCGGCTTTGTCTGAGAATACGGAGTAACGAAAGCGATTGCTTGTGGGTAAGTGGAAGTTGGGGAGGGGCAAAGCAGAAGTGGCTGTGATTGACAGCTCAGCGTGGAGGAGGCGGGGCTTAGTTCCTAACCAGGTGGCTGGGCGAGGCTGGGCAGTGGTTTCGCTCAGGGCTTGTCACTACTGGGTGCGGACCGGGGGGACTCGGAAATGACTGCAGGCAACGCGTCTAGTTTGGGGAAACCCGGGGGCGGGTACATCCCGACGCTGGGGGTCAGGGCTTGCAGGTGGGCCAGGGCCCGAGTTCCGTTGAAGGCCACGTCACAGCCCGACTGGGCCAGAAGCCAGTTCTCTACCTCGGACTGGAGCCACAGGGAGGTCTCTGCAGGGGGAGAAGCAGGTGTTGTGAGGAGGTGACTGGGGCCTGGAAGGACCCGGAAGGGACAGCAGGGAGGGCGCAGGACAAGGAATACAAGGGGTCCGGGTTTGGGAGCAGCCTAGAGGTCCGCTTGAGGCTA